TGTTTTGGGACTTGTAAAAGTGTTTTGAATGTTTTTTATTTGTTTTCTTAAAATGCTATTTGTTTTGAATTTTTAAAAGTGTTTTATGTATTTTAATTTTTTTTTTTATTTAAATTTGTTTTCTGAAATGATAATTTGTTTTTGAACTTGTAAGCATTTTTTGTAATGTTGGTTTGCACCTCCCGGCCACCGTAGAAAGATGACTTCCAATGTTATTATACAACCAGAGGAGAAACCTTACTGTATTGATGTTCTAGGCAAATGAAGGAATTACTGTAGTAAAAAAAAAAAGCATAAAACTACAAATGAAAGGATAGATGTTGATAGATGGAGGTGTTGAGTATGTTGTGTTTCCATGATTTCGAGTTCTCCACTTTGGACTCTCCAACTGTCTAGGCTGCTGAAACTTTGGCCTTATTTTTAAGATTTTTTTTTGCATCACATGTGTTTTCTTTTTAGGCCAAGATTTCTTTACTGAAATATTATAGCTAGATATATTTGCTGAAATACTGTTTATGTCAGAAGGTTTTCTAATGTGAAACTTGATTCTCTGATTTCAGTTTCGATGATCAATACCAGAGTTTATATAACTTCCCAAAGAAGTCCAAGCAGCAGAAAATTGAAGATGCCCTGCTCTGTCAGAGCCCTGTTGTGAGTACAACATAGACACATGTATGCACTTTGTTTGCTGTCTTTATAAGTATAAAATACCTGCTGTTAAACACTTTACAACTCAGCTTTTGATTGATGTTTAATCTGCTGTTTTGTTGTACTTTTTTAGGACAAAGTACTATCGTCTCCCTCTGAACATAAACCCTGCCTCTTGGCTCTGACAGCAGATAGCTGGATCTGTCGCATCTCAGCCGAAACAGGAAAAGAACTGCAGAGGGTTTATCTCTCTCCTAAATATAAGTTCAAGTATATTAAAAACTCTCAGTTTAATGTACTTTTAGTATTTCTAAATGATGTTACACATTTTCTTTATCCTAAATATTTATTATTATTTTTCTTTTAGATATCTTGCCTGGAATGTTTTGCAAGAAACATTTTACATTAAATCTATTCAAAAGAAAGAAACAGCCACTGAAAGACGGGTAAAAATCTAGTATTTCAATATCTATAGATCTTTTAGAAACATTTTGAAAGCTTATAAGCTTAGTTAGCAGTAAAGCATGTTTCAATCTTTATTTTGAAATTATTATTAAATCTAGCTATGAATTGAGATATTTTAATTCTCAAAGGTCTAAATCTCTCTTATTTCCCATCTCTGCATGAAAAATTATTATTATAATAACCATCTATACAGGAAGATATCCAAAAATACCTTTTAGAGTTGGGTATTTATTATTAAAACATATTCCATTTTTGATGTGGTGCTTTGTTTTATGAACTTATTTACCTGTTTTGCTTAACAATTTTCTGAAATAACTATTTGTATTTTTCCTGACTTTTCTGAGAAACATGCTGTATTATAAATACTTGTTAAATTAGATTATTTCTTATTTTCCACAGGCAGGTACCTCACAGAACACAATGATGCACCTGGCTGTTTTTCATGTTTTCCCCCTTCGAATCGTGGGCATTTTGGAGATAAATAAAAAGGTATGCGGACCTATTTAAACATCCACGTGTGCATGATTTGGAATTTATGTTTTTTTTTTTTTTTCAGGGGTNTTGTTAAATTAGATTATTTCTTATTTTCCACAGGCAGGTACCTCACAGAACACAATGATGCACCTGGCTGTTTTTCATGTTTTCCCCCTTCGAATTGTAGGCATTTTGGAGATAAATAAAAAGGTATGCAGACCTATTTAAACATCCACGTGTGCATGATTTGGAATTTATGTTTTTTTTTTTTTTTTCAGGGGTTTGGAAGTGGTGTTACTGATGTGGTTCTCTTCGATGACGTCCTTGCTGTGTCTTACAGTAACAATTCAGTGAGACTATACAGCTTTGAACACATTGTCCAGAGAGTATGTATATTAAGCTGAAACAGTCTCCCGTCCTATCTTTGATATTTGTTTACCTATCAGTTAAAGTGAACAAAAGCCTTCTTTGGTTTTAGTACCTAATCGAAGAGTTAACACTGGGACAACAGAGTTCACTGCTGGAAAACGGAACCGTTGGAGAGGCTCCGTTTGGTATTCCAGTTAACATCCAGGTCACAGGTGAGGTTGTTTTGTGCTCCAGCTCTTAAGCCATTGTGAACTTCAGTTCTTACTTTACGTAACTTATATTCAGAAAACATTATGAACTTTAATACCAGTTTCTGCTTTGTTTGTTTTGTTTGGTTTAAAAAAAAATAAAAAAAATCAATTATTTTCAAACCCAGTGTATGGAAGTGGGGCATTTAGCCGATGCTGGCTGCATCAAAAGCTCCCGGAAACATTGATCTATTTTTCTTATTTTTGTGATGTGTGTGCTGTAATAACCTCACGCCACCTGTGACCCCTCTGGTTTTTGAAAAAAACGTTGAAACGTCATCAGCGCGCAGGACTGGGGTTGTAACAGGCAGCCTGGGCCACAGCCGGCTACGCTCTACCCCTTCTTTTGATTCGGCTAGCTAATCTGAATCGTTCAATTCCATTTGGAGAGCGAGATCATCTGTGGTAGTATCACTAGACATCTTCCAGGCTTGTGAGTAAAACTAGAAGCAGTTCAGCGGACAGGATGAAGAAATGGTAGCCGGCTAGGGCTGGGTATTGTTCAAAAATTTTCGGTTCCGGTACCAATACCGATACCTTCACTTCGATACCGGTTCCTGAACGATACTTTTTTCGAT